CAGCTAACCCAACCCTCCCCACCCACACCAGCTAACCCAACCCTCCCCACCCACACCAGCTAACCCAACCCTCCCCAACCACACCAGCTAACCCAACCCTCCCCACCCACACCAGCTAACCCAACCCTCCCCAAACACCAGCTAACCCAACCGTCCCTAAACACCAGCTAACCCAGCCCTCCCCACCCACACCAGCTAACCCAACCCTCCCCAAACACCAGCTAACCCAACCCTCCCCACCACACCAGCTAACCCAACCCTCCCCACCCACACCAGCTAACCCAACCCTCCCCAAACACCAGCTAACCCAACCCTCCCCACCCACACCAGCTAACCCAACCCTCCCCACCCACACCAGCTAACCCAACCCTCCCCAAACACCAGCTAACCCAACCCTCCCCACCCACACCAGCTAACCCAACCCTCCCCACCCACACCAGCTAACCCAACCCTACCCACCCACACCAGCTAACCCAACCCTCCCCAAACACCAGCTAACCCAACCCTCCCCACCCACACCAGCTAACCCAACCCTCCCCACCCACACCAGCTAACCCAACCCCCCCACCCACACCAGCTAACCCAACCCTCCCCACCCACACCAGCTAACCCAACCCCCCACCACACCAGCTAACCCAACCCTCCCCACCCACACCAGCTAACCCAACCTCCCCACCCACACCAGCTAACCCAACCCTCCCCAGCCCTCCCTATCTACACATCTGTGGACAACAATTTATAGTTCAGACCAAGCACCTATTTCTCATGAACAACAGTTAACTTTCAGTAAATTCTAAGTGATTCCAAGGCTTACATTTTGCTTGCATATTTTATAAGTTTCTTCTTCAAGATTTTTTGCTCCGACTGCTGTATTTTGCCCCTAAGAGATTTTCCATGCAGTCCTCCCCCAACTCATTGAAGATGGTTCAATAGAAATTGCATTAAAAAGGCATAACTGGAACACTGCCCACAGGATGGGCAGCCCAAAAGTAACTGAGCAGTTATCAATAGCAGTCTCCCACCAGATCTGACCCATCGAAACTATTACTGTGGTATCAAACTGCAGCATTTCTGTATTTTTCTTTGCCTTTTACAGGCATCATTGTTTTTTTGGGGGAGCAGTTTCTGGGTACTATAAAATACTAAGGAAAATACTGTTGAAATTCCCTTTCATCCTCCCTTGTTTGTATTCATTAAATTGACTGATCCCTGCAAGTCTATTCAGTGCTGTAGGTTTGCCTTAAAGTAAGTGGAGCCTTAACTTTGCGATATCCAGAAGCGCTTTGAGACACCCAAGAGACATGAAAAGCGCTATATCAAATGCAAGGTTATTATTATCTATATTACCTCACAATAAACAGCATTAGGCTACTCAGAGTAAATTCATGTCTTATCCCATATTTGAATCCGTGGATAATCAATCACTGCAAGCTGCATTGTCTAGAAAGTGTTTATGTACAGAAGCCTTGAAGTTGGACTGTGGGAATTTGCCCACTCTGACCTAATTCTAAGTGTATTACGGCAGAATAATTTTCATGACAGAACCACGACTTCACAAACTGAAGTTATAGGAACAAAATGGATTCTTTTCATCATTATTATTTACTTTAGGCATGACATATCAATAAAATATAGCCAGTTATCATTTACCAGCAGTTTATTAGAGGTGACATCTACATATTTGTTTCTTTATTGCCAAATCTGCATTGACAAGAATCCATTGTTTTAGCTCACATTGAAGTCTGTTAATCTTGTAAGGGGAACAAAATATCATTTTGAATAATAACAATATGGTTTGTTTGTAATATTTATTTCAAGAAACTATTGGTGCATTAATAAGGAAGTTTAATACAAATACATCTAAAATTCTAGGTAAGAGTTCAACTATTTCTGTCAAACTCACTATTTTAGGAACAAACCTTATTCATCTATCTTTACTATTTGTCTAATAGTAAACTTGAAAAGCAGCAGTGTTAAAGTAGCATGTGATTGGCAGTAATCAACCTTTCCTTGCTTTCGGTTCTGTAAGATTTCAGCCTTAATCTTTAAAATGATCGGCAAAACACAATTTATTTTCTGAGATATTTTCTTCCTTTAAGAAAATAAACTCTCTGTTTGATCATATGGCAATTGGTGAGAAATGTGGTTTAATAATCTACTCTAGGGTGATTGATGCTCATTTCTGCTTCTGCATAGTAATATATTTGTGGTCATCAATCTCACCAACTATTCTTACAATGCTGATATTTCATTCCTGACCTGATCTCAGCTCAATCAGTATCGAGCTTCACATATGATGAGCTTGTATTGCTGATTCGAGCTATTAGATCTGATAAACATGCAATTTCATAAAAAAAACAAATGTGCTGTCAAATGCCTTTCCTGCTGACAATGGCAGATAGCAGGTCAACGCCCAAGTCAAAGTATTTTCCATTAAAAAATAAAATCTTGCACGCAGTAGTACAGTCGCTGGCGTGGTCTCATTTTTCAAAACACATTA